TTCAAGAGCCAGAACCCACTCCGCCAAGTCCTCTCCATCTACTTCTTTTAAGTTCATGAGACAGGCTGCTAGAGGGTCTTTAGCGTTCAGAGTTTCATCTTCCTCTTTCAAAATTACATCCACAACTTCTATTAGAGAGCAGTTAGCAAATTTACTTGGTCGCCATATAGACTTCTTCACATTGAATGTTATCTCTTCATCGTTCAGTCTCATTTTTAGCTCTCCAATTTCACAACCAATTAGAGCTTTCCCAGTGGCCAAAAATGGTCTTCCCAAAATTATGGGAATCTCCTCGTCAACCCTGCAGTCCAGAATGATAAAATCTGCTGGAAGCACAAACTTTCCAACCTGCACTAGTACATCATCAAGGATACCTGATGGCCTCTTCACTGTCCAGTCAACTAGTTGTAGTAACATGGATGTGGGTTTTGCTCTTCCAATGTCTAACCTTTTGTAGATAGCCAAGGGCATCAAGTTTATGCTTGCCCCTAAATCGCACAATGCTTTAGCAAAAGCATAGCTACATATTGTGCATGGGATTGTGAAAATCCCTGGGTCTGACAACTTCTCAGCTATGGGTCTCGTCATGACAGCACTACAGGTCTGGATTAGTGTAACAGTGGCCAAGTCTTGAAAGTCGAACTTACGAGACATCAAATCCTTCATCATTTTGGCATACCCGGGCATCTCCCTCAAGGCGTCAATCAGTAGAATGTTCATCTGGATTTGTTTCAACATCTCCATGAATTTCTTATACTGCTCATCCTTCTAATATTTGGTCAATCTTTGTGGGAATGGTGCTGGAGGTCGCTTCCTTCATGTGATTTGAGTTTTATCCTGCTCAAGCACTGCTTCTACTGTCGTTTCTTGTGCTACCTCAGTCTCATTCGCAAACTCTTTTTCTTTGCTTGTGCTCTCTTGTGCATATTGTATCGGCACATCAGTTAACCTTGTTAAATCATCTACCTCGATGGGTACTGGCATAAGTGTTTCAGTTGGTCGGCTTTCGCGAGTAATTTCTTGCTCTAGATCTAGGTCTTTACCATTTCTTAGACTCACTGTCATAAGTTGTTTCGGGCCCTGCTCTTTTGGATTGACTGTGTATCTGCAGGTAACGTCCCTTGGGGGAAATTATTCAAAGCCATTGATATATGTTCTAATTGAATCTCAATGCCTTTTATCGTTGATTCGTGTTCGTCCACTCTTCCATTGGACCCAATCAATTGTTGCAGCATTCCTTTAATTTCAGACAACCCATCATCTTGTCTCACTATTTGCTGTTGTTGAGGTTGTTGATAAGCTAGCTGCTGATTTTGCTGGTTGTATCCCTGTTGCCTTTGGTACGGCACAACTTGACCATGTGGTCGCATGGCTCCAGAATTATTGCTATTATTGTACTGCTGTTGTGCGGGTCTATATTGCTGATTCTGTTGCCCCTAATTCTGACCACCTTGCTTCTGTCCTCCATAGTTGGCCACATAGTTCATATCTTCCCGATAGTGCTGGTTGTCACTTTCCGTACTCCGAGAGCATACATATGGTTGATTAATGCATGGTGCACATAAGCCCCCGTTAGTCGCATCAACTATGTGTACCTGCTGCTTCTGACCTGATTCATCGATCTTTTTGGTGATGATACTCATTTGCGTCATTAGAGTGGCCATATTTTCGGCTATGGAGTTGTTTGGGTCCAAAGCCACTGAGTGAACGACATGAGTGATCGTAGAGTCTCTTGTCATCCATCCTGAGTTTTGAGCCATTTTATCAAGTAGGATCTTGCATTCTCTGAATGATTTGCTCAAAAATGCCCCACCTGCTGAAACATCAACATTGGCCTTTAAGTTGTCTGCCAATCCCATGTAGAACCTCTGCCCCAACATCTGATCTAGAATGCCACGACGTGGACACTTAACCAGCATACCCTTGAACCTCTTCCACGTTTCTTGTAGTGTTTCTGTTGGTCTCTGCCTGAAGCTCAATATCTAATCAATTTGTTTGGCAGTCTTATTGGATGGGTAGAACTTGTTCAAAAGTTGCTTGATTAATTCCTCCAAAGTAGTGATTGAGTTTATGGGGAGTGAATTAAGCCAAGTCTGAGCCTCTCCCGTCACCGAGAATGGAAATAATAACAGCTGTATTGCTTCCTGTGTTACATTAGGTTGCCTTTGCGTGACACATATCGACATGAAATTTTTCAGATATTGCTGAGGATCTTCAATGTAAGACCCTGAGAACAGTCCCTTGTTCTGCAACAAATGTAGCATGTTGTTGTGATTTGAAATGATTCCGCTTGTATCTGAGGGACTGTAATTGCGGTTGCCAGATTTTCGGCGGTGAGTTGTGCCCAATCATACAATGCTGCTTCTGGCACAAGAGGCACCACACCCTGATTGTTCGGGTCATTCGCATTATTTTTGTTGTTTGGATTTTCTATTCCGTCATCCATGTCTGGTTCGATTTGTTATGTTGAGTTCTGTTGCTGTTTGCACGATTCAGTGCCTTGAAAACTTTCTCAGAATCTGACAATGCTTCGAACAATTCATCAGTTCTTGAGGAGTTTCTAGGCATGCACTTGTAACACCCAAGACTACAAACGTTAGAATTTAAATGTATTTAGTTTAAAATGAAGAATATTGACTACACTAAGAGTTCTAGCACTTCTTTTAGCTGTAATTAATAACACCGTTAATTCTCCGGCAACGACGCCAAAATTTGATCACGCCCAACTATGCCTTATAAAAAGGACTAAGCGGTCACTGCAAATATATTCCGGTTAACAAGTCCGGAGGCGAATCCCACAGAGAATTAACCTATTAAGTACAACTACTAGTCTCGCACAAATTCACGCAATCAATATTCAGAAATATTTAAATAACAATTTGGATGTTTCCTAACTAAATATCACGTAATGAAAATGCAGTAATTAATAACTAACTACGAACATGTTGTAGACAAGAATTGGAATGGTCTAAGGTTCCGATTTACCCTATTGTCGGAATCCTTTCCGCTACATTTCCTATAAATTTGCCTAAGTTTTCTCTACCGATCATGAGCTCTCTGAGTGTCGTAATTCTCTCCCGAGTAACTACCACAATTTACTAGACATATTCTTCCGAATTACGCTAACTAGCACTAAGTTACGGCTCACTCGGATCGCATCAATATTTCGTTATTCCTAATCCCACCTTTAAACCCTCCGTATTGATCCCTCATATACGTTAGGAGTGATGTTGTTCAACAACTACCTAAATATGCACTCTCTTCCGAGTAATACCCACTAAATAGGCACAGTCGATTGAGAGCTATTCAACCAACTATAATATAAACGTAGTTGAACAAATAGAGAAAAATTACGGCAAATCTATATTAACGTAACAGGAAAATCATCCTCCAATAGGTTCCATCAAAACCCTAGATTAGAAGTTTAGCTACTCATACTCACAGTAACAATATCTCAAGTATTTGCATAAATAAATTATAAAGTAAAGATGAAGGAATGTAGAAATCGATGATTCTTTCCCCCAACGGGTGTTTCACGAGCTATCCTTGCATCCGGTCGCAAAACTCCTTCAAAAATGGTGTTTAATGTCTATTTATATGTGCAGGAAAAGACCTAAATGACATAGCCCAAGTCCTAGTCAAACAAGGAGACAAAATAAGCCTTCAAAATCCGGATCAGGCTCGCCTCAGACCGTGCCTCACGAGGTAAAACGCGAGATGAACCTCGCCCCAGACCATGCGACGCCTGCCTCCACGCGAGCTCAACCTCGCCTTATCCCTCACGTCGCCTGCTCCCACGCGAGCTCAAAGGCTTGCCTCGCCAGCTCTAACGGGAGCTCAATAGCTCGCTTCGCCAGCTTCCTCATTTTTCTGCTGCTCACTTCTTTCTTTCTTCTTTTCAACTGTTTTCAAGCACGCTTTAGACTTTAAATATTTCTTTTGCTCTACTTTCATCTCCAATGTACCTACACATAAAATAGACTCCATTATGCACAAATAAAGTGTAGTTTAACATTAAAGCACATAAAATGTAAGAATATACTAAAATATGAAATTATAGCCATACATCAACATCCAAGGGTTCAAACTACAATATCACTTGGTCAATTCATTACTTAAATCGGATCATGTTTCTTTTTTAATTTTATACGCAGTGTGCATAACGATAGAAATGTATTAAGATGTACTGACACTCTTCTTTCTTTAAAAAATTAAATTGCTATTGCCAGTCGCCAGATTATGTGTGGTTAAGTAGCCTTACTAGTTACATTAGAAAATTTAAGTAGATGCAATCTAAGGCTGGATATCATAATATATCAATCAAAATGAATAAATGATGCTTGTTCCCACAACAAAGTACCCGCAATATCCCACATCATTGTTAAGATTCATACATCCGTTAAGATAATATGTTATGTTTGGTTAGAGAATGTTGTTTTCACAATCTTATCGCTATATTAGCCTTATTGTATGATTATTATCATGTATGTATGACTAAATTCCAAATTAAAGGATGATTATCTACCTACGATCAGGGCGAAGCCATCTTTTGCTAATGGCCCTCGTCTCAATATTACGAAAATTATACTATATTATAAGTAAAATATTAGATTTTAGATATATATAACATATATTGAACACCCTTTGTCAGCAAACTTTTTTACTTCTTTCAAGTTTTAATACCCTTAAAAGAAATTCTGGCTTCGCCACTACCTACAGCTACGACCTCTTGCATGTATTCTTCTCGCAAAAGTTTGTCTAATATTAAGAAAATTAAACATAGCTGTAGTTGTTATAATCTCTAACTCTTGAAATGTGACTTAATCACCGCATATGTACTGTCCCAATTAGCGCTAGCGCTGCACATTACACATACTCAAACAAATGCAACTATTTCCTTAAATATACCATTATCACAAAATAGACATAAGATGGTGACAAAATGACAACAAATATACCATTTTACATCTAATTATATTCTTTAAAAAATGAGAAACCAGTAAGATTAATCACAATAGGAATTCTCATTGAAGATCAGACACAAGTTAAAGGTCCAAAAGCCAAACATACATGCCAGACAACAACTACTGAGAATAAAAAGTTTCAGACACTTGAAATGACATGATAAACAATGACCTCAAGAATCCATAACAAATGCCAGATTCACCCACAAGATTAATTCCCTTCACCTAATCTACTTAAACAAGCTCCCTACTATTTCTTCTTGATGTTATAACTTTCCGATTTCTCGAAATTCCCTCCACCCGCCGCCTGTGCTGCTTTCCTTGCCGCCTTTTCTTGAAGTGCCTTTGCATCCCTGTTGAGATATTAAACACAACATCCGTGTTAGGAACACAAGCTAATCGCCCTAAAACACGAGACTTTTGGAGAAAATTGGCGAAGGAGGAACCTTTCTCGTCTTTGTTCAGGAGTTAATCCATCATTCTTAGGTTGCTTGGTCTTGTGATTTTCCCTGGCTTGAGCCCTTTCACGATATCTATCTCTCTGGTTCCCGCGTTAGCTTAAGTTAAGGTCAAAACAGGTAGGGATCGAATTAAAGTATGGCAACATCTAACCAAAGAGAAGGAAAAAAAAACTAATCTTTGGACCCCATAGCTGAAGGTAAGATCACGAGCTTATGAAGAATGAAAATTTAAACTTGACGAATCCAACCTTTAAAGTTCTTAGCACTGAATTCATTGTATTTTTTTAATTATGAATTCAAAATTTAATATTCATTGATATTTTAATAACTTTTCACATATATATTCCCCGTAGAAAATAGTGGTTCACTTGAACTCACTTTATATAGGCTGCATTCGCCTCTTATCTGAAGTATTATCAATATGAGAGATCACAATTGAAAGGGCTCAAATTAAATCCCCCGACCCCACCTGATTTCTTAGCAACCAGACGAATGGAGAAAGAATCTTGTTTATCGTTTGACAAAAATATGCATGAATGTCAGAAAGATCATGTTATGAAAGAATGGTTAATTAAATAGTACGAGATATTATACTTTTAACAAAGGCTCTATTTTTAGATTCTTCCCCCAATTTCTAGGCAACCAACCAAAAGGATCAAATGAGCTTGTACATGAATAAGCACCAATAGAAAAAATAAGAGCTTACCCCAGAAAAAGTTCTATCTTGAGATAATAGTAAGGTTGCGCACGCACTATCCTCCTCGTACCCCTTATGGGATTACACGGGGTTTGTTATTGTTGTACTCTTACCCGGCGGCGGAGGCAGAATTTTTGCTAAGGGGTTCAAAATAGAAAAGTTAAAAAATTAAAAAAGAATGTGGCCAGAATTGAACCAAGGATCTCTTACAAAGGTTTTGAACCCGAGCTATGCTTTTGGACAATATGAAGGAGATTCAAAATAAAATATATAAAGTCATAAAATAGATTTTGCCTTATATGTAAAGTGTAATTTTTCGACGGCAGTATCAGAGTAAATCACTTTCCGCCCTCCTAAATCCGCCCTTACCCAATTTTAGGCAAACAACCCAAAATAACTAAAATCTAAGCGACCAAACAAATGAAAAAAGAAAGAACCTTGTTTATGAAAAGGGAAAGAAAAAACCGATGAAGATTAGCATGAAGAAAATCAGAGAAAAGAAACATATCAGAAGGATATGAGACATTCCCAATTCTCCAACAGCCAAACAAAATTAGATGGATAAATAGCTCTAGACAAGATCCTGGAACCAAAACACAAACCAAAAAAAAAAAAAAAAAGGAGGAAATTTTAGAAGAAAAGAAAACCATCACCGAATTACACCCTAACAGAACCGAACGAAATTGACAGATGAGAAATAATAATTCGTGTAAAAGAAATTGGGGTTTATCTGATTGAGCTTGGATTAGAAGTTGTTTGCTTAAGATCGACCTTGAAATTTGAGAACAAACTTCAAAGCAGCAGAATGATATTGAGAAGTTGGGTTATTTGGAAATGCCAGGGTTTAGGGAAGTAGGTGATTTATAGTGTAAGATCAGAAGCATCGAGAAGTCACGGTTTCTCTTTTTCCTCTTCACGTTTTATTCCACTGAGCGTATAAAATGTGAGGTTAGACAAAATTTTAGCTTTAGAAACTTCTGCGAGTAATTTGTTTCCGAAGATACAAATGAAAGGGAAAGTTGCATAATTGGATGTTTTGTATTGATGAAAAATAAATTTATCATTTGGACAAATTGAATCTCGATATGTATCAAGAATATTAAGTGAAAATAGCATGACCTAGTTACTTTTTGGATCGGTAACCAAAAAATAATCAGCATTTGCAAACTAATTAAAAAATACTACTATTTTAGCTGAAACACGAAAAGTTTCAGCATAATATGCTAGATTATGGAGTTTATGCGTATAAACTTTCAGAATATTATGAAATTCCAACACATATTATGCTGAATCTAGTATGTAAAAATTTCGAATTCCAGCATATTATACTGGAATTTTTTCCAATTTTTAAGGGCGATTCTGTTCAAATTTTATTTCTAAATGAAAAAGTGATTAAATTTTGATTACTTTTGAAATTGTATCTATTTTTCAATTAACAGTTGTAAAATAGGCAATTTCTGATTTTTTTTCTCGAATATTATATGGTCATAGAAAAGTTGAGTCTGAAACTAATTGAGTTAAGAGTTATTCAGAACCATTATTATTTGTATTGCAATCGTCAATACCTGTATCGTTTGTATTGTAATTATATTATTTATGAGCCAGCACGAAGAATCTATCAAAGCCATGTAAGTACAAAAAAGAGGGAAATCAGTCAATCTTAAATAAAGCAGGATTTGGTGTAACTCCTCGATTAATTACAGACTCTTAGCGTAACGTGCGGAGAACATAATTATGAAAGTACAGGGTGGGCGAGATATTAGGGGAGCAGTTACGGATAGTTTTACTTTAAATCCTTTCCCCCATATTGTATCCCTTCTAAGAAATTATTCTCTTACTTACTAATCACAACATTATATTTCTGGCATGTCAAACAAAATAAGATACGAGAAAAAAGCTGTCAATAAGGAAACTCTGTTCTTTTACTTTACATTTGATTTCCTTTTCATTATTTTTTTATCATTTATATTTGAGAAAATGTATCAAATCGATTGTTGGTATCCTAAAATATAAATTTACTCGATTTGACCTATTAAACTAATTTTAAGTTAAACAGTTAACAATTTATAGTATTTTATATATATACCACAAAGTCTTAATTTTTGTGGCTATAGTTAGATATTAGTCATAACTTTTGTATCTGTAGTTGAGGCTTCATAACTAATATGCAAATTGTTTTAAATATTGAAAGTGAGAAATTTGTCATACTACTTTTGATTTAAGATTTGAATCTAATTTTGTTCAATAAAAGGGGACGATTCAACATTATTATCATATTTATCAAGTACTAATTAACAACTTTCAAATTATTTAGAAAAAAATCAGACCTAAATTTATTATATCTACAAAAAGAATCAGTCGAGCAATTCTCACTGAAATAATACTTGACAACATTCCTGCATTGTGGCATTCGGATTCTACAATTGTATTCGTTCAGCCCTAGAAGATTCATGTTTTGACCATGGATGGTTGGTGGAATAATGAATATTAATCTCAGGATAAAATATAGAATTTATTTTATTTCGTATTTAGTTATCGGTATTTTTCTTTCCTTCTTTCTTATTCTATTGCGCTATCTGCAGAGGCGGAACTCGGTTTTCTAATACATGGTTGCAATAAATGTAGGAAAAATGTATCTAGTGGGAATTGATCCCTATACCTCTTAGTAAATAACTCAACCTTAAATCAAATGCACCTTTAAACCTTCTTAGAGCATGGATGCCTACAGTTATTATTATACCAATTTTAGAAAATATATACTTAAAATATCTAATTTTACAAAAAGATCATAGTTCACGTGTACCATAATTACACCTATAAATCCGCCCCGGCTATCTAGATTACTTATACCCTCATACTGTCTGATGTTTATATTATTGTAAGTAAACTAAGAGTTGAAAAGTCATGTAAAACTCAAAAAAAAAAAAAAAAAAAAAAATCGTAAA